CTACGCAGCCGTGCACTGAAGATGCCACTAAGCAAGTGGTGAAACGTTTGCCATTGAATTACTCAGCTCGGAGAACCAATCAAAACCGTAGGTAGAACATTGTCTGAAATGGTAATGCTGCGAGGCAATGTTAGGTTCGCTGTAGGAAGCGCCCTTGGTAGCTTCAGCGCTGTATACGGTGGGGCTATAAGCAGCAACAAACAGAAGCCGTCTCGCTCTGTTCCTTGCTTTAATTTTGGTTGGTGTTACCAAACAAGCCCTCACTGGACTCCAATCAACCAACGGTGGCTCAGCCTTAGAACAATTACCCACCCCTGACTGGACCCGTATTGCATCATAGTGAATAGGGAATCGATACTAACTGGGGGAAACATGATGGTCAGCACACTCACTTTATCCGGTTCAAACTCCAACCACACTGCTTGTTTCTGCCAACTATGTATGGCCTGCTCTGGGTTCTATATAGGCTTTATGTGCACCTTTGCGGTACATTCCACCTCACGTCAGTTGCGACAGCTGTTCGACTACCAATTGCAGAATTTCACCTTTTGCTTAATAAGACTCGACGCTGTGTATATTATCGGTAATTTCCGGAACGATTCAGTTTTCTATTTGACCACAGTCCATTAAACAGATGACGGGGTTACCTATGTGACTTCATCCTGGCGTATGCGATGAGAGCCAATAAACTAAAACGGTCAGCCACTATACATTACGTGATCGGATGACCGCTCGCTCATCCACCATGCGCATACCTACTATGAACCAGCTCATGCCCTCGTGATCACTGGTCCCTAGGTGGAATCCCGCAGACTGAAGCGGATAACATCCGGAACGGCTTTGTGACATTATGTACCACATGAACAGCGTGTTGTTTTTATGTCAACTAGGTTTTGCTTACTTCCCCATCCTGCGTTCTGATGGTCACGCACCAGCACGATGTGACCGGATGTGCTCCCCCACACCCCCTTGTCCTACCCCAGGTGGCGCCTCGTTAGCAAATGCTCAGGGCCACTTGTATATGAACTGGTAGGCAAACTGCGCTAGAGTGAACCTAGTCTCCTGGTTCTTGCATTTGTAGACAGGATAGTTGCGGCGAATATTTTCTTCTAATCTATTCCCCATCTTCAGCCACCGCTAGGCAACTACACTTCAGGGACAAGTTTTGTATCGTTCGAACTACTCACTGAGCTTGACAACCTTTTGCAAGCGTCTCATCACCAATCTACGTGGTTTCATCGATAATTTGTTGTGTAGCTGAATGCGATTTCGCATTAGCGTTGTGCGCCGAGTAGTCGTACACCTTGTTGTGTTACCCTGGTTGCTTGTTCCCGTAAACGATTTCACTGCTTGGTCACTGGACCACTCCGATTCCTACTCCTTTACGTGTTTGTTTCTGCAGCTGAACCTGTCACTCGGTCTACTTGTCTGGTATTCTCCTCTCAGGGTTACTCTACTGGCTTAGAGACCGTCAATTTCTACTGCTGCGTATAGCGCGTCTAGTTCAATTTACCAGTTGGGAAGTAGCATGCTTCTAAGAATTCCTCTGCTTTACTGTCTCCCCACGTACTAAAACTTTTACGCTCCTCAGTACGAAGTGTTGACCTTATTGACCTTCATGTATGGAAACCGAAGGATGTAGATCATGCCTTCTTATTATTGCCTTGTGTTCAATGTCCCATCTAATAAGTCTCCTATCAGCCTATGCTGTACAGCTGACAAGGTTGCTTGTCGAATAACTTCGTCGTGGTGCCAGCCGGGTGGTCCGGGTCTCCCGTTCCAGCAAGTGGTTGGGCGGCAGTGTTCCAGGACGTGGTGGGTTTCCACCTGGCAAGCGTTTTACCTATTAAAAGACACATATGTTCGTTTAACAACACTGAGACGTGGCGGATTTGACTCGCCACTAAATGAAATCTGTGCTCCTTACTTCACTGCGGTAGTGCACTGTATTCCAACAAGTTGAGGCACTGAAATTGTGCGGAGGATTGGGCCCCGTTTGGCAAATGAACATACGAAAGGCCTATGGGCTGAGTACTCAGTCACCAGCCTCTAATGTGCGCGATTCGCTGAGTTCGCTCCGTCTCCTTGCGAATAGGCAAATCGGCCAATGGCTCAGGGCGTTTCCTCCTTAAGACAACCTTCTACATCCGCTTCGGCAATCGGGTAGTATCGTGCCCTCTGACGAAACCACGTTCTATTCTGTATTGTATTGTTTTCTTTTTACGATAACTGTACTTTGAGTTCTATGGTTTTTAATGGCTCCATGCCTATCCGTAGACTATTGTATATATATATATATATATATATATATATATATATATATATATATATATATATCCCTTCTTGATGCTTCTTCACCGCAGTTGGGCTAAACCAACTTACACTTAAACTAGGTCTTTTTAAGCTGAATAAATTTCATTCCACTTTAGTTGTTTTGTTCTGCCTACCTGAATAATGTTCTATTAACTGGCCACGTTGCTTACGCTAATTGCGCTTATCTTCGGTAATTTTGTTGAGTTTGTAGCATTTTTAAGTAACTTGTGGACATTTCTTACTTATCGCGGACTCGTTGCTAACCAACTTACTTCATATGCTAATTTAGCGAAGAGTTATGCCACCGTATCTGTATGCAGTATTGGATTTGTTTTATTTCATCTTGTCGTTTCAAGTGATTGGCTGTTGCTTGATATCCCCGGTGTGGCTGCGCTTGATGTGCATGTTGACAAGATGCCTACCTGTCTATTACCCACTACCTCGTCCATACTGGAGCCAGCTCCAGGAGACAGTTGGTCGTTGCTGGAAGGGACGGGGTGCACGGTCCTTGTGGCCGTGTTAGGCTCGAGGAGTGGTTCCATGCAGTCAGTGTGGAGCGGACTACGGTCCAGCCACCGCCTTGTGTGCGGTTGATTCCCCAAATACAGCGTGCTTGTGTTTGCCTGTGAAGGAGTGTGGGCCGGCTCTGTTGATGAAACGTGGCTCCCATCCACATGCCTCCCGGTCTTATTCCTTGGGGTTTACACTGGATATGGGGTGTGTGGGTGTTGCAGCGCAAGCCACCCATGGTTCTTCTGTATGCTCAGGCATCCTGTGGCTGTTCTATGGAGGCCGCACTGACAGGCAGTTCGGGAGTCAGATGCTGCCAACCATTTATATATTTATATATATATATATGTATATATATATATATATATATATATATATATATTTCATGTAACGCGTGTATGGGAAGGAATTGGCATTTGAACTCATTGGTCTCTCCAAAACAATTTGAGTTATGGTGAGGTGTTACTCGTCTGCAGCACTGCACTCCATGACTGGCTTCACTCTGTTTTGATCTCATCAGGTAGGAAGAGCAGGCAGCCAAACCCGAGTTGCTACGTGTATCTTCTGTCAAAACGAGTAATGGCTCCTTAGATATCGGGGGGGGGGGTCATTTTGTGGCATTCATTGTGTGTGAATGTGGATTGCTCTACATTGGGTCTCATCCACTGAGGGACAATCGTTGCTACAGCAACTGTATACACCCTAACACTTAACGCATCGACATGAACAATTCTCAGTGATTGCCTTCTCTGACAATAATCGATATGAAAACTTCACAGGAATAGCAACGCATCTGCATTTGATACCCCTAATGAGGCTTTCTAGTACTGAATTATCTTTTCAGGTATTGGGATTCAGCTCACGGTAATTTTTGTATGGAGTAACCTCATTTGTGTCATTCTAGACATTCTGGATTCTGACCAAACTACGAGTTTTTATTTTGTCCTATTCGCCGTGCTTGTAGATTTCAACGTGCCAAATATAGGCTGGATCCCACTTTTGACTGGCGGACTTGCAGGAGTAATCCAACGTGCCCGTATCAGTTCTAGGATTTAACACGTTAGGCAATATACTAGATTGGACATTATCTTAGATTTCATTTTCACCATCGGCATACTATATGTTCGTGTATCACTTGATGAGCCTCTAACAGATTCTGATCGCAATGCAGAGTTCTGCAACATGAACATTAGGCTGCCTGAAAAGTCTGTAGTAACAAAAAAGTCAGTCCCTCAATTACACTTTATTGATTGCATCACATTTGACCAGCTGCTTAGGACCGTGTGTTAGAACCTATTCTTCTCCACAGCTGATTCGGCCGCAGCCGCAGCAGGCAAATTCACGAATATTATCACATGTACCAACACTCTATTGCGCATGTTGGAAGTAAACACAAACCTTAACAGCCCAAACAAATATTGTTCAAAACCCTTTTTCATTGTTATTATGTTTATTATTATGTTTATTATCGGTTTCACGAGACACGCTTTTTGACATGATTTTTTCAATTGTTTCCTCATGATATCTACAGGATAATCTAAATGTGAGGCAGAAATGAGAATAATATTTTTTTTGGTAGTTCTGCAGCTCAAAGCACTGTAGGGAACGAACCGAGTTTTTCCCTTTGGGTAAAGGATGAGAGGCAATTATGTGTTGATATGAAGAACATTGCGGGTCATTTTCAAGAGTATAACATATAGCATCCAACTTAAGCAAGCTTTGTTCCTTTCCTATTTTCAATTTCTCAATTGGAGCGTATACTCTACTTTCCGAGTGAAGGTGGTTGCCACTATTTAAGGCACTCATCTGAATTGCAGTGGATTAAATCAGTCGATCAGACCAACACACTGGCACTGATTTCTTCACTAATGTTTCCCACCCGATCACCAAAGTTGTGGAAATTTTTCCTTTTGAAGGCCACTTGACGGTCTCTCCACTTGAGTGACCGCTGCCATTATATCCTACATCCGTTTTAGTTTGCTATCGCTGTTTCATCTTGCGTCTGTCTCTTTTAACGTGTTACTTTCGGGTCATCCGTTCCAGATATATATATATATATATATATATATATATATATATATATATATATATATATATATATTTATATATATATATATTTATATACTTACGTATCCGTAATGCTTTATACTTCGCGTTGTACATCTTTTGCACCTCAGATTTGGGCGATTGAAAAACGAGTTATCGAATGCGTTGGTACCTTGATCGGTCATCGCCGCGGTGTATGGTCAGTTTGTTTTTCCGCCCATGAAAAGGTAATTTTTCCTCTTCAAGTTTGCCTTTGATTACGCTTGAATTTGGTCATCGACGTTACTTCGTTTTCCTAATGCCTGATTTATGTACTCGCTGACTGCATTCCATATTTCGAGTCCAATCTTCCTTACTTCCCTCTTTTCCGCCACTTTGTGGCAACCTCTTCTGTTGAGTCACCTTAACCGGCTTTGTGTTCTATTCCTTGTTTTTGCCTTGAAACGCACAGTCATTTGCAGAAGAAACACCACTCCTTTCCGCAATGTACTCTTACATCTTCTGCCAATGACAAAGATCCTGCAGTCAACTTGTCAAGCTAGCTGAAGCTGTGAGAAGTCACTTCAAAACACCGATATTCTAGCCTATCTCATTTGTTCGCTTCGAACAGTTTGGCACCTGTGTACGACGCTCCCACCAATTGTTGCCAACTTCTAATTCTCGTTTTTACTACTACTACGGCTCGACCGCTGGTTTGTCCTCAACACCCAAGTGGCGTGTATTAAAACCGATTTCCCTACTTTTTATTATAAATGATGCTAGACCCATCCGTGTTCTATCCGATGGTATTGTTCTGTTTCGATATAGAAGCAAATGTTGGTAGCTCAGGTTGTTTAGTTGATTGGCTGATTGTTCGCTGAGCTCGGCAGATTGACTGCAAACGTTTCGTCACCACTCGAGGTGACATCGTCAGTGCGAGTGTATTTAGCAGTGTGGCGCGTACGAAGCGTCTGTTTCCTTTTCCTTCCCCCGAAAAGTTACATTTCCGTACCCGGGCACTATACATTTTACGTTACCGCGTTATTACGTGTTCAATTGCGGGTCTTGTTTCTGTAGTCAGTTATTTCAACACAATGCACAATGCTCAGCAGTAACACCAATCTGGAAGCCACTTTTTGAACTGTCGGAACAGTACAGCCGTCTGGAATGCCGCAAACATTCCTCCTCGCGTATGCCATCTTTAGAACGCACTCTTCGAATCGCTTGTTTCCGCACCGACACTAGCCATTTTTAAAAGATATCTGGACGACTCACAGTCACCGACACCTTGTCATCTAGCATTATTTTACAATTTGTCCGAGAGAAAGAATTTCCCGAAAGAATCATTACTTTAGTGGTTCATCGATTGCAATCGACTAAGTTCTAGCACCTGCACGTGACCCCGACATTTTCCTGAAGATTGGCTGCATCACCATGGCACTGCTACTTTTGATAGTGGACCTTCTACTTCTGGAAGTCAAAAGTCTTGAGGCGATCTACAACTTTGACCATGCTCTACCGCCTTTGTGCAGTTCTATTTTGACCTAGGTTAACACGTTATTTTGTACAAGGTTGTCTTGATATTTATCCTCGGTTTGGTTTGAGCTGATGCGGAATAAGTTAGTTGCATGTTTCGGAGTTGCAGAAAGTGAGAAGGTTTAACACGATTCCACTTCCAGTACAAAATACTTTGGTTTTACTAGCCGTTACATACTAGTGCTGTACAGACAACTCGAAGAGCCGAATTATCCTGTCACAGATACGTAAAGAGGTGGGTTTAGTTTTCGCAAATGAAGTACAAAGTGTTTTCCTCGGTAACGTTTAGGAAAGCTCTCGTCAGAGTGCTCATTGGAACCAGTAAAGCGATTGCTTCTTAACCCGTATATAACCATTGTTCATTGCTCGTGAATATGGGCACTATGCCCTATAGACTCATTGTCGCCCTCTCTTTTCTTCCTTATCGGAGTGGTTGTGATTGTTGGTAGCAAAGCACCACCAGTTTGAAGTATTGATGCACTGCTACTATTGTTCTTCTTGCCATCGTCAGTGGTGACCACAACGCCGATGATAATTACTCAAAGCCCACCGAATAACCACGTGCTTCCCCAAATTTGGTTACTAATTTCATTTATACACTCACTTATTGTATGCGCACAACTTGGCTCGGGTTTCAAGCAATGCAAAGGGCCGATTGATCTGTTAAATTCTTCTTAGACTGTTTGCGCTCACTACTTCTCTTGGCGCAGTCTATGCGGGCTTTCCTTTTCTTCATTTCCAACCGGTTGTACTGTCCCGTTTACCCCCGGTCGATATTTAGCTCGTCTATTCACTCGCAGCCTCCTTATATCGATGATATCCTCCGCCTCCATTGATGTGTTCTCTTTCGGACCACTATTAAGCTGTCAACAGGTCAAACTTTGGTAAATATTGGATGGGTGATTTTACTGTTTACTCCGCTGCGCATGCACTCTCTATTTGATGTTTATTTGCTTCCAACCAGATTGTTCTAACTGCATCTGGTGATGGGGATATCAAGCTGTGGAACTTAAAAGACTTTTCCTGTATCAAAGTGAGTTTTTGCCGTACCGTCAACTTTCTACTCCTAATGATCATCGTTTCAACGCCGTTCCGCATCAATTTATTATCATTATTATTATATTTATTAGCTTCACAATATCATTTTCGAGAGGCCATTGAGTTCACATATGTAGTTTCCTCTGTAGTCTTATCTAACGACATGTGTTTCTGCTCATGAGAGACCACACTGGTTAGCCCAACGATACCGCTTTTTCTAACTTGCACGGATACTTTTTTCTGAATCGCAGTAAAACCTGCGTATAGAACTTCCCTATTTGTTATATCATTGCTTTTCACCTTTGTTCCACCCCATCGGTCCCACTTCCTTGTTTTCAGACATTTGAAGGTCAACAACCGGTTTATAAGGCTGTGTTTCTTTCAAATGAACGTCAGATATTATCTTGGTACGTTTTCTCGTCTTAACTTCATTTCTCATTTACCACTTAGATTTTCTCTACATTTTTCATTATCTTGTGGAACCTTGCTGTTTCAGCGACCAGAAGGGACTCGTTAGAATATGGGACGTCTCAAGACCGGGTCCTGGCAAAGGGGAGCCCGATGCCTACGACACCGGTCGTTCGCACGTGATAGAAGCACATGACGGTAGAATCTGGTCATTGGCCGTATGTCCGGGAGAAACTGGCTTTTTTACCGGCGGCGAGGATGAGACACTATGTTACTTCCAAGTATGTTCTCACTCAGGCGAATTTCAGTGAATAAAGTTTGCATGCGTTCTAGTTAACTAGTGTCGTTAAATTTGCCGTCCCGCCTTACACCCGAAGCGTTTGCTGCGCCAGTCTGTGTTTTTGACCAATGACTTCTCAAGAAAATTCCCTTAAATACTTTTGTGTTCTGCCCGGCCATTTAGTAACCGCGTCCCAATTTCCCAAATTTTACTCCGGATGTTTTTTTTGAATTTTTCTTGTACGTCCACCCCTAGCTACCACATTAGCACTTGCTCACGTGACTCCATGAGATGCTTAGTTTGTACGATTAACCAATACTACATGTTTTTACAATGCTCTGTTCTGTGCTAATCCGGTCTTTGTCTAATTTCGGCTTAGGATGTCACAGAGGAAGTACAAGAAGAGCTAACTAAAAAGCAAGACGAGTTCGTTCAAACGTGAGTCATTCGGGATGTGTTCACTTTCTTGTCTCTTTGATTTACTGATGCGAACAATGCTTAGTTTATCTTCACTGATTAATCGGTTCACCATCATATTACTCTGCTACTTATGCTCTCTTCGGCCACCGGTCATCGAGAAATTCGAGTATCTGAGCAGCTATATCAGCGCCAGTAGAATGGAAGATGAGATCACACCGCATTGCAAAAACTTAAGGTGTTTTCGCCACCTGTGGCGCCAGCGCGATATCACTATCGCCCTGAAGGACAGAGTTTATAATGCAGCCGTCCGTTCAACCCTCTTGTACCTTTGCGAAACCTGGCGCATCAGGTCGACAGAGATTAGAGGCTAGTTACGTTCGATCATCGCTGCCTTCGCGGCTTAGCTCATGCCTGGTTGCAATACCGCATGAGCAATGAGCGTGTTCAGTGCCGCGTATTTGGTGCAGGAAGAGGGAGTGAATCACTCAGCATCTTTATGTCACGTACCAAGCACCGATGGCTAGGCCGCGTGTTGCACATGCCAGCACACCGACTTCAGCTATGTGCATTGTTTGCGCGCCGATGGTGTGAATGAAAGAAGAGGATGGGAGGCCAAGAGACTTGGTCAAGTGAAATGAAGACCGTCACTTCGAACATGGCGCCGGTTGGTGTTTCCCGAGTGCCGAGCTGGGGACCGAATCTGGATGAACACGTTTGGTTGGATACGCTAGCATATTTGCTGAAGGCAATACCAACACCTTAAATACCTTCAGTCATTGACTAAGTATCGCCATAGACACGAAGAGTGTAGCCATCGTCTTCAGATTCAGAATCAGGGAGTCGAAGATTCGTCTCTGCACTATTACTTTGTATGCGTGTTTCAGAGACACAGCACACATCAATACCATGAGAGTGAAGGTTAAGAGTCATCGCTGCCTGCTGGCCGATCTGACCTACAATGTCGACGCACTGGATGTCGTTGCCATATAGTAGAAAGACCCTACTTTACCCTGTACATATGTCCTTAAGGCTGTTCCCTCGCATTTGACGCTCGTAATTAACCAGTTGCTAACAGAACTCAGTGCTCGTTTTATCTCCTCTTTTCAACCACCTTAGCGGTTGCAGTTGAATACATTTTACATCTTTTTCAGTGTTTGCACTTCATCGAATCGTTCAAGAACCTGTCTAGATTCGATGCCAGTGACCCACACATACAAGTCGTGATATTCATAACTAACCTCAGGTCCCAGTTTACTGGGTGGCCCCTTGTGTTTCCCGTCATAGCGAATCAGGGGTATGAGCAGTGTCCTTGCAGTAATCAACCTGAATGCAAATTGTTTTCTATTGCATTGAATGCTAGTCAGTTTCAGCTGGCCTTACTAACCGGAGCTGAATGCGGATATTTGAGAAGCAGCATAGAAACAGTAACTGTCTCTCCTGTGTGTTGGGCGCTCCCGACACTGTACTTCACGACTGCTTTTATCCTTGTTTGGGCTCATCTGGTTGTCTGAGCTGAGCATTAAATCCGGGATGTGGATTTTGGCGATCGACGCCTTCATCACTGGGATCCACGAGCAGTGCCTAGAGTTACGGTTAAGCACTCAATGTTGTGTCTTGGACTACTCGCCATGCGTGTCGATTTCGGTATGCAATCTCTTTTGGGATCTCGGTTTACTTTGTAGTAGACCTCGCTCATTCCGACAACTGGGACCATATCTAAAGCAGATAAATGTTTGTTGTCGTCCGCTGGCTTGCGGTAAATGCTTGGGCTGAAAACCCGACGTTCTGATTTCATGTTGCATTCATACCAACTCCACATGATGATTGCAAATAAGCACGGTACTGCTCGACACTGTACTTGACAACCGGGTCTGCCATGCTTCTGCTACTGGGTCATGGTTTGACTACCGGCCCGTAGCCTTAAGAATTACATGCCTGTATTGTAATCCGAGGGCGCGGGTTCGAGCCCACGTAGTGCCCTTTAGCCCACATGTGACTGATAGTTGTTGCGTGGCAGCGAAGCGTCGGTACCGCCTACCTGCGTACTGCTGACGCCATTTTGTGTGGTTTGACTTGCAGAACAGAGCATGTAGTTTGCTTTCCGTTTCCCTATGTACTTGTAGGTTGAAGCGACTGCATAGTGGCTTGAGAGCGACACTTGCAAATCATGATCGATCCGACTGAACAATTTGTGTAGGTTGTTTTCTGTCGTTTTCCTATATGCACACGTCGACACTGGCCAGATTGGTGTGCAAATTTTTTCTACTGCTGTACTGGCCCCCGTGTGTTGCCTCTCTTTTTCTGCCTTAATTTTCACAAAAACTGTGACAGCTTTGAAATTTTTTTACTTTTTATATCCCCATTTTCTCATACTTGTTAAATATTTTTACTAGCATTACCTCTACTATCCACTGCGTTCACCATCACTGCTTGGGTCATCATTGATTACTTAATAGGGGCTGACCTTTTGTTTGTCCTCGTGTGGTCAACACCTCATTCATTCCGTGGAGACATTTTGTCCACGTGCCTTACCTTCAAGTTCACCACTTATGTGTCAGGCCAGGCGATCCGGTGCCTTAAAAGTACAACGTCGTGACGCGGCTCTAACCATGATCTTCACTCTCATCCACTGCTCCACCGCAACTATAACAGTATGTAGGTTCATTCTCTCCTATTGCAGTTTCTTTTTCACCTGTTCTTTTTTCACTGTGTTTCAACTCCCTTGTCCGATTTGCTTGGCTACTTGTTACTTCCCACTTCACTATGGGCTGTTACCCCATATTATTATTGGAATCCATCAATTCTATTCACCTGCTCAACTGTGGATAGTCCGGTTGCTTTTCTGGTAATCTTGCTCCATCTGATTTACTTTCTTCGAGACTGCTCTGAGAGTGCTGTGTTTATCACCACCTTTCCTCTTGGTATGCATTGTTTCTTCTGCTCTGGTAGTGGCCATGCTAATGTCTTTTGACAATGTGGCCGTGATTCCTGCGGAGTCACTGATCGCAGCGTGCGTCCATGCGAACGTATCCAACTTGCTGCCAGTCGTCAATTTCTCAACGGTCGCTTCATTCCAACTTGTGTTGGCATATGGGCGACACTTTTACGGAAGATCAATGAAAACTGATTTTATTAAAGCTGGGTAGGGGGATTTTTAAGAGAAAATCTACTGGTTCGTCTTGGCAGCTCACAAGTGCGGTAATCTTACCAACAATCCGTAAAAGCACCAACCGGCCGTTTCGCCCTAATAGGGCGAGTCCCGGATGAACTCGCCACCCACCCATCCATCACACGCACACACACAGCAGTTGCTTGTGTTGTTTCGAGCACTGCATGTCTTTTCAGTTACTTCCGTTCTAATCTCGACCGAATTCAAACCCGTACTCGATGACGCATTAATCTGCCTTCATTACACGATTTAGCCGAACTTATTGGACACAACGAGACCTAACCAAATTGTATGCACATGTGAGCCACGGATTCGAGTTTTTCAGTGCATCTGCTTCTTGACTAAGCACATTGACACACCCAACTGACAAAGCCAGCTGTTCTGAATGCCTATCAAAGTACGCTGATATGCGGGTTGAGTAAGCGCTCACTGGAGACAATTGAAGGTCACTGGTCACATGTTCACCAGACCTTATTAGCAGCAGGAAAATCCTCATGTGGTAAGTCTAATAGCCAACATGGACATTAAGTCTCTTCGCGGTCTCTGAAACTTATCGATGCTCGCCGGCATATCCCGCCTGGAAGCGAACACAATGAAACTCGCAAAGAGCTCCGGGCAAAACTCCGTGCTAGCCTGAAGAGAGGCCGCGAATCCTGGTGGTCTCATCGTGCAACAGAGATGGAAATGGCCGCTGCCCTTGGCAACCATCGTAAGTTATTCCGCCTGATACGGGAAACGGGCAGCAGGAGACCTGGTGTTAGTGAAACTATACGTGACGAGAGTGGAAAGCCTATCCACAACTTATCAAAACACTTAGAGCGTTGGGTTGAGCATTTTGAAAAGCAGTTTAATCTGCCAGAATTGTTCGATTCTTCGCCGACCAGTGATCGCCCTGCTCTGTGGGCTGTCCTATTGGATCCACTCTCTCGCTCAGAAGTCGAACGTTAGATCGGACTGTTGAAGTTGAACAAAGCCGCGGGACCAGATAATCTTCCTCCAGCCCTCTTCAAATTCGTAGGCTCTGCTCTTGTTGATGCTTTACATGAATTACTAGTGAAACTGTGGGAGCAGGAGACTGTCCCAACCGACTGGAGCCGCTCCGTCATAGTCCCAATTTTCAAGGGAGGCTCGCGTTCGGAATGCGGCAGCCATAGAGGAATCAGTCTGATCTCCATCGCCTTCATAATTCTTCACAGACTAACTGGTGCTCGTGGAAGCCAGATTCGTGAGGAGCAAGCCGGGTTACGTCGGCGTCGTGGCTGCATCGACCACATCTTCACCTTGCGTCAGTTGTTGGAGCACCGTCACACATATTGGCGGCCCACCGTAGTCGTGTTGCTCGACATCAAAGGTGCCTTCGATTCGGTTGATCGATGTGCCCTTTGGAATTGTCTACTCAGGAAAGATGTGCCCGAGAAATATGTAAATATTATCCGAGCGTTATACGCGCGTAGCACAGGCAGAGTGAGGGCTTACGGCAAGCTGTCACCACCCTTCAATATCTCCATCGGTGTAAGACAAGGATGCCCGCTGTCACCTTTCCTCTTTAAGCTTACTATTGACGAACTCATGGAGATTGCATTTACAGGACATGACTTAGAATGTGCGGAGCTAATCCCAGGAGAACGACTTCTTGACTTGGAGTATGCAGACGACATTGCCCTCATCTGTGACAGCTCCCAGACGTGCTAAGCCGCGCTGGACAGATTAGCACTGGCTGTCAGCCGCTTCGGGCTTTGCTTTGCACCATCGAAGTGCAAAGCTTTCCTCCAAGATTGACAGGGATCGCCTCCTGCGCTGACCCTTGGTGGAGATCAGCTAGAAGTCGTTCAGAAATTCTGCTACCTGGGAAGTTGTATCAGCGCCCGTGGGATTGAAGATGAGATCACGAACCGTACAGCAGAAGCTCGAAGTGCTTTTGCTATCCGCCACCTATGACGGCGGCGCAACATCACTCTCGCTCTGAAGGGTAGTATGTATGTAGTCTCAACAGTCTATTAACTAGACACAGAGCCAGAATAAAACCATGGAGATCAGCAGATAAGCAAGAATCATCGCGTCATAATCATCGTGACATGCTAGTTGAAGGTGAGCAACACACTTCAATTAATATGCCGCAGGAAGAATGGAACCTTTTGATAAAAAGTAGAACAAAACATTTTTAGTTTGTTTTCACACGCCGATTTGGCTTTTTTTTGTCAGTTTAATGTTTGTAGTATTAAACATGTGAATCAAAACAATACTGTACACAATTCTTCCATTGATTCCGGTTGCGGGCCATATCTTCAAGAGTGTTAAGCCATTGGCACTCCTCATCTTTGGGTCCCCATCCTGGAAGACTTACGGATCCAACAGCGGATAGACACGACGTCAGCGATTTCATGTGTTGCCGCCAAGTGAAAGGCTGACCACCACGCGGTCGCCTCCAGCCAGGTCCTTGACGAGCGAATAGTGCGCGACGCGGTAGACGCTCAGATGCCATGCGTAGGACGTGACCGAGCCATCTTAACTGGCGTAACAAAACCAGTTTGTTGAACGGAATACTCGCATTCCCCAAGATGCGATGTCAAACGTCATTATTATTAACTCGGTGTTGCCACCAAACACGAACGATCCTCCTTAAGCAACCGTTATCGAACGCAGAAAGACGACGCATGTCTTCCACGCGAATCGGCCAGGACTCGCACTCATACAACAATACTGAGGGAACTGATGCGCTGTAAATGCGCTCCTTTAGTGAGAATGAGACGTCGCGACGACGCCACACGTGCCTCAGATTGACAAATGCTGATCGAGCTTTAGCGATACGAAGAAAAACTTCTTTGTTGATTGTGCCGTCAGCAGAAACACAGCTCCCAAGGTAGACGAAACTATCTACCTGTTCAAGTTGTGCACGTCCTGAAGGGTCGAGTGTACAATGCAGCGGTACATTCGACCTTACTGTACGGTTGCGAAACCTGGCCCCTAAGATCGGTGGACATAAAGAGGCTAGTTACGTTCGACCATCGGTGCCTTCGCCGTTTGGCTCACATCTGGTGGGAACACCACGTGAACAAAGTGCGTGTCCGGCGCATTGTTGACGGCATAGAAAAAGGAGCTGAATCGCTCAGCACCGTTATTTCACCCACCAGGCTCCGATGGCTGGGCCACGTGTTGCGCATGCCAACCCACCGGCTTGCACGACGTGCGTTGTTTGCGTGCCGGGGGTGTGCATAGAAGAAGAGGAGGGGTGGCCAAGCGATGACTTGGTCCAGAGGAATGAAGGCCCTCACTTCGGAGCTGGCCTCGGTTGGAGCGTCTCGGCTCCCTGGTTGGGGTCCAAAAGACGATGAACACGTTTGGCTAGATACACTTGCTGACATGGCAAGGAGCCGACCTCAGTGGCGTTCGTGCTGTGAATTTCTTTGTCCCTACCCATCCTTCTATGCCTCCCCCTCCAAGCGCGATCTCATTTGGTAGCGTAATATAATTTTACATAATAACTTTTCTTTTTGCCTAGTAGCCGGCTGGTAGCTTACCGGAACGATGCCTACCCGTTGCTGGTAGCTCAGCTGGCATGCAACTGTCGTATTTATTTTCTTTTTCTTTTATATATTGCGGCACAGTAGCTGAGATGTTTCCCTCCTCTATCTGACGTGTATAATGATGGTGATGATGCTTTTTGACCTTATTTCTCTACCTACAAAACTGATTGGGTATTTACTGTGTTTCCTGTGATAAATCCCTTACTCCATTGCAGTTAACTATCACCCTTAAGTCTCTGCCACTTGGAGTAATCTGTTCTTTAGCTATTTCATTGTTGCTTCTCTTCCGGTACTCATTCAAAGGCAACAATTGCTGGACAATCTTATCGCTGCAAAACAGTTCAGTCGTGCTCTTCGGCATGCTGTGAAACTTGACCAACCGAAGCAAGCATTGCAGTTGCTCCAGAGTGAGTTTCGGACTGTTCTCTACATCAATCAATTACCGTTTATCATTCACATGAACTATTGTGCTGCCAAGTTTGCCCTACGCCCCCGTTTTTTCAAAGTACACTGGGATTACTGCTCGTTACACGTTAGCGCATGTTTTTTGACCTCTAAAGTCCACTGTACTTTAAACTCATCGGCATTGAGTAATTGTTGGTTTTTCTGTGTTGGCTTTTCCATTAGTTATGACAAACGATTCGATGCCGTTTCTTTTTGCTGATCTTGTACTCGCGAAGTATTTTCATTACTGTTGATTGCTTAAGACCAAGCAATCCTCCACAGCTTTTTTCACAGAGCTCGTGTTTGGCTTTTGAAATACATCACCCCTTCAAATGACTGTACCCTAGCACATTCTCGAACCTGTTTACCTATTCCATTTTTCTCTTCGTCTATCTACCACATGGGACACCTTTTTCCATCGGAACATCATCCTCTTGTGCCGCCACTGATTTTAAAATCAGTTTTTGTATCTCCGCTTGCTGCTGCCGATCATTTAGTTTTTTAAACGACGCTTTTGCGTTTTCGAAACTCTGCTGCGAGCACTCATCATATGACTCCTAATTTCGGTCTAGTCATTTCATGCTTCGTCAATCTTTCATTTCACAAACTTTCCGTAGATTTGCTCCTGGATGACGCGGCCGATTCCAAAACAGACCCTACTAAACAGGGCAAACTTTATGCAAAACTGAGGAATGCGCTTGATGGTTTGTTGACCCCACCTGAAGGCGAGGAAACCATCGAACCCGTCGAGTTTCTGCCGCAGCGATTGTTGAAGTATGCTATCAACTGGAACACTCGGGCGCGTACTTGCGTTGTAGCTCAGTGCATTCTGAACTGGGTGCTAACCTCTTTTACTCCATCACAATTGATGCAATGGCCCGAAATGCCAAAAACTATCGAATCTCTAAAGCCTTACACAGGTTAGTAAGCCGCATGTACCTTAGCGCGGATTTGTGATGAATTTTTGTGTTACGCCTCCAGTCGTTCTGGCTTCTTTACTGTAAGTTGAACGGTGTATCGAGCATCACACTGTTACTCCTCTAGGTCACCTGATACTAAATCTGAGCTCAACCGAGTTTGATTCGCTGTTTTCACATCAATTACTTCGTCTTTGTATATCAAAGTTTGAGTGACCCACCTCTTTTCTTCCGCGGCATTCAGTATGTATGTGCTGCTAAAGGTTTGATCCCTTTCTTTTTGTTGTCTTTTCTTGTATGCTCAACCTTTCGTCACGTACTTTAAGTGTTTTTCCCAATGATTCTCATTCATCCGCTGCTGAAGATGGTTAAGGGGTCAGCATTTTCGGTGTGATTGCTGCCTGCATCACCTGAATGTGAATTGCGGGCTTAGTGAAACTACGGATAACATTAAGTCAAATCACAACCATCTCGGTTGCTTGATTTTTTCTGAAATCATCAGCATTGAAAATTTGTTGGGTTGACCGGTTCACGGTCACTGAAGGCAGTTGGCGTGTCTGGCTACCTTGGGTGCTGCACGGCTTATCCTATTCACATGCACATTGCTGATGATCCGTGTGCTGGACAGCACCATCCTGCTTAATTTGTCCTTTTTTCTGTTTAATTTGGTGCTCTAACTAGTACTCATTACGGTTAGCGAATTGGAAAAACGAAAAAAGGAAAAATCTCAGCAGTACGCCGTATTGAACCTTCGCTCCCACGCAACCCTGTCAATCGCATTTGATCTAAGGATACTGCGAGGGTCGCCCGGTCCCCTACGCAGGGTGGAACCGGTGACATCCATGTTGCAAGGTAGACACCTTGTCTTTTCGGTCACCGGCCATTTTTGGTTCATTTCACTGAGTAAACTCAATCGATTGGGTGTTTGCGGTTGTATCTTACATTCATTAAACCCGAAAGAAATTAGCCATCACAAGTGGGCTGATCCAACCCATAACCATCTCACAACCGGATGAACACCGGACAACCGTTCCATAAACTGGACTTAACCTGATTGCCGGTAGCTCGGGTTAGTGGTTGAAATCTGGATTTTTTCCCCGAGCTGTGCAATTTGATTGCATACGTTTCGCCAATATTCGAGGTGGCGTCTTCAGTGCATACCCTTGCAAGTAGCTTGTATGCAGGTACTGAGCTTCGAGTAAATCTATAGACTGATGCCGGTCGCTGCGATACTGCCAATTGTACACATTTCAAACATTCGCAGACCCGCTGCATCCGGATTGTTTACCCCTCTTGGCACTGTGATATACAACCGCCTTTTGTCGATTCGTTTGAAGCTTGCTGCGACATAGGATGGGTTATTGTCCTTTCAGTGGTACAACGGTTGTGTTGCTTACAGAACATGGTCACAGCAACTGTGCTGTTCGTTGTTCAGCCGCTGATCTGTGTCGGTTTAAGCCATAGTTTCTACTCTCTCACCTCATTCATTCCTAGTTGTTGGTACGCAGTATCAAGGTTAACGCGCACCATCACTCTCTGGTGGTCGAGGTCATGATCTTACACCTAAGGGACGACGGGTGACAGCACTTGTCGATGTCGAATGCCTGAACCATCTGTGGTGACTATACAAAGCCTAGGCTAAGCAATTGCACGAGACGGGATAAGAAAACTGTAACTTAGTGAGCCTATACTGTACAAACGTGCTGAGTAGAGGGAATAAAATGTAAATTCCTGTTATCATGCTTCTATCATTCAAATTGGAGACAGTAGTCAACTCAATTATAGGTTTGCAATCGTAATGTAGAAGGATAAACACTTGAAGAGGTACTTGGCGTGCGGAAACGGTACAGCAGACCAGTTCGTTAATCAACAGTCTGTCAAAAAACTAAGAAAAGTAAATAATGCAGGTTTTTAAATCAAACATGTGTAAATTCCTGTAAATAAATAAGGAAAAAGTGTGGGAATAGGTATAACATGTGCAAAAAATAGGCAATTGACATTTCAGCACCCCCTGTTTCTAAAAGCGATGCTATTAAGAGACGGCACTGTTGCAACAGACGCTCGCTGTTGTCCGTACGGTCAAAATTAAGTCCATGCATACCACCTAGCTGAGCTACTGAAGAACCCAGACTACCTACTTACTCATTCATATCCCCTGCGAGAACTATGATGTATAAACTGGTATCACTGCGTAGCAGCGTGTTCAGTTCGTGCTAGAAGGCTGTCTTTGGCAGCATCAGAACTACAGTTGGTGGGGGCATAAGCGGAAGCCACCAACAATTAGCGTCTAGTACTGCTTCGTGAATCAATCTTGGTTGATATCAAACGGGCTGCACATAAACGGTTGTTCACCGAAATCCAGTCAACCAACAACGACTCAGTCTTGGGGCCGAGAACGATGCCCACACCAGCATGACCAGTGGTTGCAGCATCAGCGTCCTCGAATGCGTGCAACTAATAACGAGAGTGATTAGAACCAACCAAGTGTGCCAACACGACGCTCATCACAGTTTTTCTCCCACCATTGCGTAGCTTAGCTGGACAATGCTCACGTATTGTCTCAGATAAGAGGGTGCAGTCAATTCAATATCCCGGTAGGATCATTGATCTGGTTTCTGGCACACGACACACGTCAATAACCAGGGTGTCTAACGTGCGTGCGAGTGTAGCCTGTTGACTTACTTGTCTTGGAATGTGAACGTTGGACGCCGCCACGAAAACGGGACACTTTGGCTTACCTCGTCGTTCTCTAAAATCTGGCGAATCGCTTTTCAAAAAATGCGTTCGCATTTCATTTGTCAGTCATTGACTGATTAGTCTCGTTTCGATTATCACTAAGTTGCTGGCTTCCATTCTGCTTCTGCCGGTGGCCGAAAGCATTGCGCGCTTGCTTTGTAATCCCATCACCGGATCGAATCCGCGTAGGTGCGGACGACTTCGTGACTGATGCTGGTCGCGTGGCAGCGACGCTTCTGTACGTTGTGCCGGCGTACTGCCGGTGCCTTTTCTGCATGCTATCCCCAATACGCGAATTGAAATAGCATGAACAACAAGTTGGTTTCCGTCCCATCCGTGAATGCATGGACCAGATCTTTATGCTTCGTCAACTCTTCGAACACCGCCACCTTTATCACAGGCCCGTAATCGTTGTGTTCAACATACGGGCTGTATTTGACTGTTGATCGATCTGCTTTATGGCGTTGCTTGCTGAAGAACGAGGTGCCAGAAAAGTATACTGCCATCGTACGTGCACTTCTTCATGTCTCTGGCAGAGTGAGGGTCTGCGGCAAGCTTTCCTCGTCCTTCATTGTCAATAGCGGTGTTCGACAGAGCTGCCTTATGTCCCCGTTACTCTTCACTTTTGCAATCGAAGACGTCCTAACGAGAGCTCCAGATGATTCATAAAATTTTAGCCTAGAGCATCTACTGGGTGAGCTTCGGCTATGCTGGTGGTATCGCTTTACTTGACAACGATCCGCAGAGTATGCAACTCATTCTGAACCGTTTAACGGTTGAATCGTCTCGATATGGCATGAACTTCGCCCTCTCAATGTGTAAAATGCTACTCCAAGTTTGGTCCACACTTGCTCCCGGGCTTACTCTTGAAATTACATGCTCGAACAGGTAGGTAGTTTCGTCCAGCATGGATGTTGTATTTTTGCTGGGAGCCCTAACGTCAAGAAAGTTTTTCGCATTACTAAATCCCAACCAGCATATGTCAATCTGAGGCACTTTTGACGTCGTCCGGACGTCTCCTTCCCGATAAAGGACAGTAGTGACCTGGAGATTCCACCGTTTGACTGTGTAAGTTATTCTAAAATTTTAGTGTTCTGGTGCATTAGGGACTTAAGCGGTTTACTTGTTTGGATGCTGCTCCGGGTTGTTTGAGTCGCACGTAAGACACTCGCGTCCGCTCTACGACTAAAACACACGCGACCTGCGACTAGCTCTCCTCCTCGCAATCAGCACACGCTCTCTTCTGGTGTCTTATTTTTTAACTTTAGTCACTTTAGCGACCGTTCGATTAACCTTTTCTAGCTTATTTTAGTGTGTCCTCCCGATTGCTCTCGGTTGGCCGTTTAGCGCACGACCGACGCACTATAGGGCCGCATTTATAGTCTATCTATTCATTCAGTGTCGTATGGGAGTGAGCCCTGGCCAATTCGTGTGGAGAAAGTGCGCCGTCTTCGTGCCTTCAACAACGGTTGTTTGAGGAGGATCGCTCATGTGTGGTGATAACACCGCGTTTACAGTGTTGACGTTAGACGTCGCGTCCCTTCAATAAGTTGGTTTTACTACATCAGTTTAATTGGTTCAGTCACATATTAAACGTGACACCTGAACGTTTGCCGTGCCGCGTAGTGGTCAGTCTTCCACTTGATAACAGCATAGGAAATCGCTGATCTGACGTCTGGTCTCCGTCGCACCCGTACCTCTTCACGGATAGGCACCCAAAGATGAGGAGTGTCAGTGACTTAACACGCTTGAAAACATGGCGCGCATTCGGAATCATTGGTAAAACTGTGTGCAGTTATTTTGCTTCATATGTTTAACAGTTCAAATATTGAAAATGAGAAAAAGGAAAATATCTACGCCTGGAAAAACAACAGAAATGACTTGTGGGTGAGGAGTGTACGATCATCACCTTGTACCTTGTTTGCATCCATTTCACCTGCTATAGTGCGAGACACGCCTATCTTTCCATGATCATAGAGGTGCGGACATAACGGATCGAAGAATGGGGACAGGGATGGCAGATGAAAGCACTGGAGTTAAGTGATTGATCCCGATAGGGCAAGATATTCATTGTAAGGAATTTTTATGTATCGTGGTTGCACTGAATACAGACTGATATGTGAAGTCTACTCCATGACTGATAGTGCGAATCGCGCATACCTCCCATTGTAGCTGAACGGGACACTACACATCTGAGTCGCCTGAATTCACATTCCATCGGGATGGCTTTTGTCTCCTAAATTGATGCGAATCCATCCTGGCATTCTGCCTCACCCCGTCGCCACTTGTGTCCCACGAGTACCGGTGAACTCTTTGTCATTATTTATAAGCGCTTATTTATCATCAGCATCATCAACACGGGGTTTTCTCGTTGTGGATTCACACACTTCTTTGCTGATCACTCTGTGTTTCCATTTTACTCATTTAGCTCGGCACTATCAGCGTATTTCCCGATTGGAAGAACAGTTGGCTATACTGGATTACTTTTGCGATATGGCGGACGAAAATTCAGTATTGGAGCTTGTGACAGCTAACTCGGACTCCGTAGCTCCAGCTGATGGCTTGCATTCCAGCGGCGTTGTTGATCTGACCTTGGAGTGAGTGTCTGTGACACGTATGATTACCTTGTTGCACATCGAGTTCATCTCTTGGACTGAGTGAGCGTCTGTTTCCTTCTCCATCTCGACTAGCTCCGATAAGTGTATGATTTATCTAGTCGTTTCCTACTGGTTGCAAAGCACTCGACTTCGATCGCGCACATTCTCTGAAGCTTAACCGTTCCATTTCTAGAGACATCAACTTTTTTGGACTATCCCTCTGCTGTTACGACCAAGTACAGTTGTCAGTAAGGTGATGTCTGCAATTCACCGACCTATCGTGTGTCTTGTACTCAATCTATAGGTAATGTTGCTTCCTTCTACCTGATGAGGCCATCACAAGATTTCTTCTGTCTTTATCACCGGAGCGTCACGACTGGGGCGTACTATAGCAGTTTTAACCCTGTGGCCGGTCATTCTGTCACTTCGAGCTAGGAATCTTAGCAAGAAAGGAGCAATCGCATAACTTATCTCACAGTCTTCCATGACTTGGAACTTACCCACGCTCCTTGTATTGTCAGTTGAATTACAGTTTCAAACATCTATGACGAGATGCTTTCCACTGACAGAATGTGTATCGCTGCTGCGTTTCTTTGGAGCCATCTTCTAATGTCACCTATCCACTGCGCCTCGTTTAGAAAACCAGAGCATGATCTTGGCTATGCTGCAATATTGGACTTGTGAATTCGGATGGATTTCCGCTCGGTATATTTAGCTGCATGGTCGGTTCAGGCAGGCTCACACAATCAGACTACCTGCTGTGGTCATCTTCTACTGCTTGATTGCAGTCTTCACTTTGGTTGATCTCGATTCTTTTGCGATTAGCTTTCACTGACACTTAAATCCTTTATCTTCTACACAAGATGCACGCGCATTGTAGCTCTCCTCAAGCTCAAATCGCCCCTACATGCAAATACTTGCCGTTAATCTAACGCAAAATACCCCTTTGTTTTCGCTTTTATTTTAAATCCAACTGCTACTCTAAGACTATGCTTTATATTCCCTGTCCTCACATTGTCCTAAGATCCTTTCAAAATACTCACTCAGCTAATTCACTGCTCGCGGAGCTCAGTGACCTAGTGAGCATGGCGATAGCCGCCAAGCACTATGCGCCGAGTTCCACTCTCAGCTCGGCTATCTCAACCTAATGAGTCCAAACCAGGATGAAACTGTCGGTCGTGGAGTACAGGGATGGGAGAGAGCTACACCGAAACTTTCTAATTCACTTGGACTCATCGAGGAGTCTGTGTCACTTTTGTACGTCTCAGTTGCCCACTCGGAAGACGAAGCGCCTCGGTGTCTCGGTGTGTTAACCATCAGCACTTCACTCAACCGGGCACTACTATAACAAAAAGCGCACTTGCTCTGATCACACATCAAAGTTGCTCTAGGGCCTCGTCCTTCCACATGAGGTTTACGGACTCGATCATATCAATTAGCAGAGACACCATATGTTGTCATAGTGCAGCCCCATGCACTTGGTAGAACTATGTTTATTCATATCCACACATATTTCTCATCCCGTTTTCGGCTTCTCTCCACCTACAATAGCTCCGTGTTCTTTAGGGCCGCACTAGCCTTGATAACTCGTCTTCAGCACTTCGTTCCGAGAGTAGCATCCTTCGCGCTGTGACATGTTTCTTTTTCCGCCACGCGCATTCACAATGTGAAACGATGCGGCCCACATTTCTATCCCTTTCCGACAAGTTGCGCGCAGCCATTACTTCCCGACAGCCGGTTCACGCAATTATAATCGCGATTACCAAATACTAATTGTAGATGAGGGTCCCCGAATTAGTCTGAATACTTCAAACTCGCTTAGCGGCGTAACACTTACGACGATACCCTTCGTGTTGCCTCGAAAATGTCCCACTTCACTTCATGAATCGTGACGCATTTCCGTAGACTCATAGTTACGATACTTGTACACTGGTTGTTATTGAATACATTATCGTTTGAACTAACTACAGCTGTGCCGAGAATAACCAAATACTGTTGCGCACTATTGCTCTCATTTGGGAGTAATTTAGCATTCATCTAAAAGCCTTTTGCTTATTGAAGAAAACCTATCACTGCCCCATCGAAAACGATCACCTCTTCATAGTACTCGGTTGGCTAATTGAGGCCAATATGACGAGTACCCACTCCATATGATGACAAAATGAACCCAGCCATTGCTGTTCTCACATACCGTACACTTCAGCGGGCCGCCTCACAATAAAACAATCAATAGTTAAGCAATAATTAAGTATCCATCGCATCGAAACTGGACCTTAACGTGGTGCGATGGTTTGCGCACTTCCGTGAACTATTGAGCTATGCTGGGTGGCATTTTCCAAGTGCCTTCAGAGCCACTCAGTGGTTGGGAAACAGACGCGCTCACTCTTATAGTCCTCTTTGGACGTTGGTAAGAGTTAAATGACCCACTTCCCTTAAAACTCAGCCAGGAGAGACCACAGGTCTACGGGTTATAAGTTCACAACTCGATTGGCGTAGAGCACGAGCACCACGCATTGTCTCGGACGGAGGGAGGGCACCTTCCGGTGCTCACTAGTTTGCCACTGCCCGCCTCAAGCCAGGTAGCCCCTGGTCAAATTGGTGCAAAACCCGCCAACTCTCACCTGCGGCTTGCCGTAGTCGGAGGTGCGCAAAACATGTAAATTGTTCTAAATCTCCAAAGGCTGTGTGTGACAGGCCTGGAGCGGATTCCAACCGGTCTCTGCAATCACACTCCCTAACTGGACTTGCATCCCACTGCCTTGTGGGTCAGGCTGTTGAGCCAAACGCTCCGGACGGAGTCCCTCAAGCGAACCTCAATGTCCCCCACTGCCTTGTGCGCCAGACTGTTGAGTCAAAGGCTAGAGGCAGGTCACCTCGGAATAGGCAGCCTGAGAGTATCACTTGCCCTTTCGACTCCATCGACAATACTCCCTTTTTTATCTCTTTGTCCTTTCTCAACTCTCCTTCCCCGACTATTGAGCAAAAATCTGCCGCTAACCTCGCTGCTGCTGCCATCATAACTCGACCATCAAACCACTAATCTCATTTCACTTTGGTTCCTTTAACGTCCGCACTCTAGGTCAGATCAGGCAGCAGGCAACACTGACTCTCACTCTTCACTCTTTTGTTATTGATGTGTACTGTGTATCCGAAACACGCATATATGATAACAGCGTTATGACGAATCTTCGACGCCCTGGTTCTAAACCTGACGACGATGATTACACTCTTCGCGTCTTTGGCAGTACCGAGTCAATGGCTGATGCTGTTTACGGTGTTGGTCTCGCCCACAGCAGACATGCTGAAGGTCATCTACTCAACTGGATACCGGTGAACAGCCGCACGTGCGCGGTTCGACTTCGAACCTCCATTGGGGTTAATAAGTACTGTATGGAGACAAGGTGCCTTTTCATCGCCTCTGTTTATGCTTCTACTAACTGCAGTTCGTAGGGCACCAAAAAGGATTTCTACCGCCGTCTTTCATCTCTTCTCCGTATGGCGAAGAATACTGACATCGGGATTGTTGCTGGTGACATGAATGCCCAAGTGGGGCGTCTTTCAGGTTCCGAACAACGCCTGGGAGTGCGCTTCGAAGTCGATGCACGCTGAACAGAGAATGGTGGTCGATTCCTGTAGCCGCACTGCTTTCCAGCACAAACGTTCACACCGCGTCACCTGGCGCCCACCGAATTCCTCCATAACCTGGACCAAAATTGACCATATTACCATCAGCTGCAGATGGCGCACATCATTTCAAGACTTACTCACTTTAGACCACATGCCTGGATTCCGACTATGCTCTAGTGCCCGCACGCCTGGCACTCTCTTCCCCATTCATAGAAGCGCCTATCTTCCAATCTTCCTACCTGTAACGAACTCGCAGTCTGCGGTGCAACAATACTATACTGAACTAGCCCACCAATTGTCAGTGACGAATGAGGTTGGTGAACCAAAGGCTAACTGGGATCGTCTCAAATGTGCCATGAAGAATGTCTTCGATGTTTGTTGTGCACCCCGCTTGAGACCGCGTAACTGTGAATGGATCTCTGAATCGTTCGATCAATTTGGTTGAAACACGGAAACAAGCTCCGACGGGCACTGAGTTTCAGCGTGTCCGTAACTCCATGAAACGACGTCTGACAAGGAGTCTTCGAAACGACCGGGAACGTTGGTGGATGGCAAGGGCCCGTGAGATGGACAAAACCAGTCCTATTGAAAACGGCCCCGTGCTATTCCAGCTCATCTGGAACAAATGTCCGGGAAAGCCATCAGTTAGCAAAGAAATAGCTGAAAAAGATGGACTATCGATTCATTCTCAGTGTCGTCGACTAGCCCGTTGGGCGGAACATTTTGAGGAGCAGTTCATCAGGCCTGGTGCAACATCACCGTTTGCCAAATCGTCTGAGTCGATGTGGGAGGTAGATGTCACACCTCCTACTTTGGAAGAAATTCGACATGAGCTCGCCGGGTTGAAATGTAACCAGGCTCCTAGACTTGGCAACCTTCCTGCATCTTCGCCGAAAGATGACTGGACTCGCTACTCTATTCAACACGATTTGGTACACTAAGGAAGTGCCTTCAAACTGGCAACTGTCCGTTGTCGTGCCCATCTTCAAGAAGGGTCAGCGTACTTTGTGCGAAACTCATCGAGGCATTCACCTTATCTTCACTACCTCGAAGCGTCACGGGTATCATTCTTCGACGACTTACTGGTCCCCGTGAGAACAGAATCACTGAAAGCCCGGCTGGCTTCCGCCCTGACTGTGGTTGTATCGACCACTTATTTACTCTTCGCTAAGTGTCAAAGCAGAGACACATACAGACGGCCGACTATGTTGGTTTTCCCTGAGTTAAAAGCCTCCTTCGACTCCGTTGACAGCGCCAGCTTGTGGCACTGCATATCCATGAAGGAAATGCTGGCTAAAGTCCTTTCCATTATTCAGTCTCTCTACCGTGTAAGGGTTTACGCCGAACTGTCTCCTGAGTTTCCCACGACAAAT